GTAGCTGGGACTACAGGCGCCCGCCACAACGCCTGGCCATTTTTTGGTTGCAGCCATCATTGTTGTTTGGCAGGCCCGGGCTGGGGATTTGAACCTGCCACCTTAGGTGTATGTGGCTGGCGCCTTAGCCACTTGAGCCACAGGCACCAAGCCTGTTTGTTCTCTTTTGAGACAGAGTCTCAAGCTGTGGCCCTGAGTGGAGTGCTGTGGTGTCACAGCTCACAACAACCTCAAACTCTTGGGCTGAAGCAAGTGTCTTGCCTCAGCCTCTCAAGTAGCTGGGACTAGCATAAGTCTTGGTTTTGGTTATAGTTGTCGTTTGGCAGGCTCCGGCTGGATTCAAACCTGCCAGCTCCAGTGTGTGTGGCTGGTGCCCTAGCCACTTGAGCAACAGACACTGAGCCTGTTTTTTGTTTTTGAGACAGAGTCTCACTTTGTCGCCCTCAGTAGAGTGACCATGGCATCATAGCTTATAGCAACTTCAGACTCTTTGGCCAAGTCATTCTCTTGCCTCAGCTTCCTAAGTAGCTGGGACTACCAGCACTCTCCATGGGGTCTTGCTCTGGCTTAGGGTGGTCTCCAGCCTGTGAGCTCCAGCAATCCACCCACTTCAGCCTCCCAGAGTGCTAGGATTATAGGCATGAGCCACCACACCAGCCTTTAAATGCACATTTGTGGCCCAGACTTTCAGGAAAACATCCCTAGAGAAAGTGGCTGGCCCTCTGCTGGGAGAGACACATCTGGAGAGGGCTAACGCTCCCTTGGTAAATGTGCAGATCACACTGCTCTCCAACAGCCACTCACTTTGGGAAGGCTGCCCCTTCCCTCTCTGCCATGTTGGCGGCCTCAGCCAAGATGGCCATTTGTGTAGCCAGTGGGGTTAAGAGCTTCTGAGGTAGCTTGCACACCAACAACCAGAATGGGTCCCTGGGACCTGCAGAGGGTTCCTTTCCCTGCAGCCAGACCTTAGGACTCAGCCCTTGGCCTGCAGCAATGGTCCACCTCGCCAGCCCTTCCACTGCCCCTTCCTTGATTGAGGCACTTGGTGGAGGCCACTCCAGCGGTTCCCTCTGGATTTTGGATATTCTAGACTAGAGCAAGTGGGCCTGGTAGGCCCAGGCAGAAGGGCATGGCAGCCCCAAAATCCACTGAGCTCTCCTGCTCCCAAGCAATACCACCCATGTATAATGCACATCTTTATTTGTCCCTCAAAAATTTATGCCAATGTATGCATCATACATGGCAAAATATGGTATTTATTGTGTGTGTAGTATGTGCCAAATACTGCTTTTACTATACCTCCTAAATTTATTTCGGTCTTCAAATTCATGACTAATTTCTAATACCTCACCAGGCTTGTCTTTCTATAAGTGCTACACAATAGACATGGACGTGACATAGAAGACTGCAAAAAGCTGTTTTATCAAGCACTTCTCTACAAAAGTACTTGCTGAGGACTGGGTACAGAAGTCAGTCTTCACACAAAAAATACAAAAGTTGGCTTGGTACCTGTAGTTCAGGGCACCAGCCACATACACCGGAGCTGGCGGGTTTGAAGCAAGAGAATCTCTTGAGCCCAAGAGTTTGAGGTTGCTGTGAGCTGTGAAGCTACTGGCACTCCACTAAGGGGAACAAAGTAAGATTCTGTCTCAAAAAAAAAAGATACAAAAGTAAAACTTCCTTGACTGATGGCGGTAAAAATAAAAGTTTCTTTTTATTGCTAATCTCCTGTATTTTTAATCTTCATTTCAGGAAATCAAATCGATGAAGAAAAGAATGAGTGAACTGTGTATTGACTTTAACAAAAACCTCAATGAGGATGATACCTTCCTTGTATTTTCAAAGACTGAACTTGGTAAATTTCTTTTTTTTTTTTTGAGATAGAGTCTCATTGTCGCCCTTGGTAGAGTGCCACATCACAGCTCACAGAAACCTCCAACTCTAGGTCTTAAGCGATTCCAAAACACCCAGCTATTTTCTTGGTGCAGTTGGCATTGTTGTTTAGCTGGCCCGGGCCAGGTGCAAACCCGCCAGCCACAGGGCATGTGGCTGGTGCTATAACCACTGTGCTATGGCACTGAACTTGGTAAATTTTGTTATTTTCTACATCAAATCATGTAATTTAGGCAAATAATGTTACCTTCATAGTTTGCTTCACTTTTCAGATATGAAACTTAAAAGTTCAAAATATTCTTTAAAAATACACTAACCCTACCCCTCTTCTACAGAAAAGGCAACCGAATCAGCCAAAATTGCATTTTAAATTTATAAAGGTGTATTGCAATTTATAGAGATGGTCTAGAGGGGATTTCATAGTCTTTTTTTCCCCCCGTAATCTTTCTTGGTAACCTTTTTTGGTGTTTAACAGCCTTTAGTGCCTTAAATTTTTTCTGCCCTACAATGTCCCCTGTGTTGTATCTTAAACTACTTTTTTATTCTGTCCTTGATCTTCGTTGGCTTAATTTAACCTGTTCTCCAGTAAAATGCCATTGACACAAGTACACTGAAGCCTCTTCATATTTTGAATTAGTATCTCCTAAGCCACCTGGCCTCTAATTGCCACCTCTACTCCAACAACATCAAAATGATATTATAAGGACTGTCATTATTTTCCTTGAATTTCAGTTACTCTCCACAGTTCCTAGAGCTACTTAAAGGCACTGCACCGTGCCAATGCCAAATAAACCAGTAAGTGGAAAATCTGATGTATGAGAAAATGATTTTTTGCAGGTGCTCTTCCTGATGATTTCATTGATAGTTTAGAAAAGACAGATGAGGACAAGTATAAAATTACCTTAAAATATCCACATTATTTTCCTGTCATGAAGAAATGTTGTGTCCCTGAAACCAGAAGAAGGATGGAAATGGCTTTTAATACAAGGTGCAAAGAGGTACCATACATGTTTGTCTTTCTTTTGTTTTTAATGGAAGGTTTTAAGGAAAAGGTTTGCTTTGTTTACCAATGCTAAAGTCAGCCAAGGGATTTGTATTACTATTTGGTGAGCATCGTATCTTTAATTCCTCAGACCTATAAGACTTTGAGCTTTTTTGTTGCTCATTGGCAACATGCTTGGTGTGGGTTTGGGCTAAGCTATTCTAATAAAAATGGAATGAGTTAAATAAACTAGAAGTTGTATTCCTCTCCCATGTCAGCAGCCCAGTTCTGGTAAGGCATCTTTCCTTCCTCAGTGAGTGATTTCCAAGTTTATTCTTTGGAATGACTATTTCTCAGCCTATTCAGATGAGGGAAAAAGAGAATACAGAGCAGACATCTTTAAGAAGATGTAAAAATGTCATGCATCAACTCCATTGATTCCATTGGTCCAGATTCCATCATATAACCATATCTAGCTGCAAGGGAGGCTAGGAAATATAGTCTTTAGTTGGCAACCATTTGCATAGCTTAGGGGTTTCTAGTAAGAAAGGGGAAAAGGAAGAATTACAAACAGATTCTCAGAGTTAGCCAGTTCCACTGAAGCCTGCCTCTCCAGCTGTAGCAGTAATCATGAGCAAACACCCTTTTTCCCACAGGTAGGACATACTTACCATATGTCAATTCCCCATCACTTATTGCCTTGAGCGCAAAGACTAGGATCTCTGGGTGATACACAGTTCACCCCAGTTGCAGCTTCTCATGATCTAGCAACCTTTGAAAGGAAAGGCAAGTTGTCAGCCCCTCACCTCATTTTTTTTTTTTTTGTCAGACAGAGCCTCAAGCTGTCCCCCTGGGTAGAGTGCCATGGCATTACAGCTCACAGCAACCTCCAACTCCTGGGCTCAAGCGAGTCTCTTGCCTCTGCCTCCCAAGTAGCTGGGACCACAGGCGCCTGCCACAACGCCCGGCTATTTTTTGGTTGCAGCCATCATTGTTGTTTGGCGGGCCCGGGCTGGGGATTCGAACCCGCCACCTTAGGTGTACGTGGCTGGCGCCTTAGCCAGTTGAGCTATAGGCGCCGAGCCAGCCCCTCACCTCTTAACACACATCATTCATCACGGAATAGGAACAGAATAACCACACTAAAAACTCCCATTTTTAGAGAAGGAAAGACTAGGACACAGAGTAAACCCATAGCAATTTTCAAAAATGATTTGGCAGGAATCGTGAGGATTTCTTACTCTGGTGAAGTTTCTTGTTTAGTCCACTGGGCTTATTTAGGTCTGCTTTCTGGCGAGAATTCCTTTATCAGTTGTACTCTAGGGCTTCTGGTTTTGCCCTCAGGAAGTTTTTTATTTTCTATTTTCCTCCATGACCATATCTTGAGGACTGCTGGTATAGATTCCCCCTGATGCCAGTTTGAAGCCTGAGGGTTGCTTTAGGGATCAAATAATCACAGACTTTTGTAGGCCAGACTTACAATATGTTTGGTAATAAAGGTCCCTCAAAATCTTAGATTTCTTACCTGTTTACTTCCAACCAGGTACATGTTAAAGTGACTACACCCAAATATGACTTTGGGTCATAATTTGTAAACCTGCCAAATCATGTATACTGGCTTCTATATTATGTTCATTCTCCTCTTCCTTAACTTAATGGACTCTCTCTGAAACAATAGGCATAAGGATGAAGACAGCATTCTCAAACTAATCTCTGCAGTTCAGTAACTCTGAATGACAGTCTTTTTTCCTATATTAGGAGTAAGGAGCAATTGTTTTTTTCAGCCCTTGAAAGCCCTAGATTATGGAGCGAAGGCAGACCCCTTAGCAGAATGATTTTCCTTCCATCTTTGCAAATTGGCCAATTCTCACCTGAGATCATCTCTCTCATGTAATCTTTCTAAAAGCACCAAATGCCAACAAAGACACACTAGAATATTACTTTTTCCAATCATTTCCTCTAGAGAGCTAAGATACCATAAGTACATAGCCTGCCTTCTAAGTTATGGCAAGCAACAGCTTTCACAAATGTTATTCATAGTGTAATAGGATCACTATTTTCCCAGCCTGCAGTGTCTGTGTCCTCAACTTCCATTCCCATCCATTTTTTGTTTTTTGTTGTAGCAGCACCCTATTCTTGGTGTCAGTCTCTGTGTATATCAGGGTTCAGGCTAAGCCCTTTTAAAGGGCACTCATCTGGTCATGAGGGCTCTGCCTCTGCCCTCATGACTTACTTCCTAAAGGCCCTACCTCTTAATATTGTCACTATAAGGATTAAAGTTCAACATATGAATGTGTAGGAATATTCAAGCCATAGCATGTGGCATTAAGTATATTCACACTGTAAATATATTCATGTTGCTGTGTAACTCTCATCACCATCCATCTCCAGAGCTGTTTTGTCTTCCCATTAAACACTAACTCTGCATTCGTCCCTTTTCTCATCCCAGGCAACTACCATTGTACTTTCTGTCTCTTTGAGTTTGACTATTTAGGAACCTCTTACAAGTGGAGTCATACAATAGTTGTCTTTTTTGTGTCTGATGTATTTTATTTAGTATAAAATCTTAAAGATTTATCCATGTTATGGTATGTGTCAACTTTTTTTTTTTTTTTTGAGAGAGAGGGTCTTGCTTTGTTGCCCAGGCTAGAGTGCAGTGGCATCGTCACAGCTCACTATAACCTCAAACTCAAGTAATCCTCTCACCTCATCCTCCCCAAGTGTTAGGATTATAAGTATGAGCCACCCCCCACCCCAGCCTTCATTCCTTTTTGAGGCTGAATTATATTCCATTGCATATGTATATCACATTGTGTTTATCAATTCATCTGTCGATGGGCACTTAGGTTGCTTTCATCTTTGCGCTGTTGTAAATAATGCTTCTGTGGGGCGGTGCATGTGGCTCAAAGAAGTAAGGCGCTGGCCCCATATACCAGAGGTGGCGGGTTCAAACCCAGCCCCCAGCCAAAAACTGCAAAAAAAAAAAAAAAAAATGCTTATGTGAACACGATGTACCTAGATATGTCCTTCAGTGACTACTTTCAATACTTTCTTTTTTTTTTTTTTTTTGAGACAGAGCCTCAAGCTATCCCCC